AGCATGTGCGTGCAGTGTGCGGAGAATTCTTGGGATTGGCAACATCGCCCTTCCAGTAGCCCCTATTATACAGGCTGGGGTCTTTCGGGGCCTGGTTTTTCGCGGTTCCAACTTGCAAAGTCTTGCACAGGCCCCGAGTTGCTTCATCGTTGCAAAGGGGGTCACTTCTCTGCGGTCGTCGACGACATCGTGGCGCAAGACATCCCCGGTCGCAGAGGGCGACGTTTTCATGGTAATGGGAAAGTCGTGTTGGGTGGACGGCTACCTCATGGTGCTCGTCGAGTGTGGGTTGCAAAGCATGGGGTGACTTAAAACGCATGGGGTGACTTAAGCGGATATGCGTAGTTCCAAGCGGCTGGGGATGGCTGGGGTGACTTAACGCGACGTGGGGTGACTTACGACGCCCGCTTGTACGCACACCCGTCAACTCAGCCTGTGCACCAGCGGTGAGGGGTGCAAGGTCCGAGGTCCAAGGCTCGAGGTCCGAGGTCTGTCCGAGGTCTGATGCTCAAGGCTCGAGGTCCAAAGTCCGAGGCTCGAGGTCCGAGGCTCAAGGTCCAAGGTCCGAGGTCCGAGGCTCGAGGCTCGAGGTCCGAGGTCCGAGGCTCGAGGCCCGAGGCTCGAGGCTCGAGGCTCGAGGTCCGAGGTCCGAGGCTCGAGGTCCGAGGTCCGAGGCCCGAGGCCCGAGCCCCAAGGCTCGAGGCTCGAGGTCCGAGGTCCGAGGTCCGCCGCCGCCGGCTTCCCCATTGTCAGGTTCGATCTCAAATGGAGGATGTTCAGAGTTGAAACCACCTCACAAGTTGATGGACATGAATCCCCGCCGAATTTTGATGTCCACCCAACGCCCCGTGTTAGAATTCATAACTACGAGCGATCCAAAGCCCGGTGTTGAATCACCCTGGTGCAAGCCAAAGGCCCGACTCTAAGAGTCTAAGCCGGTACTTTCGGAGCTCGGCTTCATGAAGCTCAGCCCAAATTCAGCCCCGGCCATGCACGGAAAAGCCCCAGAAAGAAAACACCCAGAAAGAACCACCTGAGAAGAACCCACTCAAGAGAATAAATAAAAAAATAAAAAAAAACACACACACACACACACACCACCCCAGGGGAAAAAAGAGAGCAACCAACACCCCGAAAAAAAGCAAAAACCAAAAACACCCCACTGCTCAGCCAGTCCAAAACCATCCCCCGAGCCGCGCGAAGACCGGCGAGATCGGCTCTTGAGGCGGCGGCGCAGCACTGGGCGCGCCTGGCGGAGTTGGAGCGGCAGCTCCAGGCGCTCAAAGCGCGGCGCGTTTTTCCCTCAAAGCTTCCTCCAAGCACTCACTTCCTGAGTGGATGGGCCGAAACAAGTCCAAACTCTTTATTTTCTGGGCCTGCGGCCTCTAGCCGGCTACGCCTCCTTGAAGGTATACCACGTCATGTCATGTTTTGTGCATGAGAAACGTATCCTGTGCTGTGATATGGCTATGTTGCCCACCTTAACCCCAGATAATGCCGGGGATGCCGGCTTTCTGGGCCCCAGCCGGGCCCCAACCCAGAAGGCTGACATGGGGTCGCGCGCGCGCGCGCCAGAGGACCCAAAAAAAGCAGCCCAAAAAGAGCAGCCCGCAAGCCAGCCCGGAAACGCAAACGCAACAAAACACCGTAAATAGCAGCGTTTTGTGGCTGGGGTCGCGCGCGCGCGCGCCAGCGCGCCAAAAAGCCCAAAAACCGACGGGAAAAAAGCAAGGACTGCGCAGCGCGCGAGCCAGCCACAGCAAGAGCAAAACGGACAGAACAACAGCCCAACGCTCAGCGCAGCAGTTTTTTGCGGTATTTACAGCGTTTTGGAGAGCGAGGACCCAGCATCACCGGCATGCCCGGCAGCGCTTGGCGCCAAAATGCGCAAAAATGAGCCTCGCTTATACCCCTCCGATACCTTCTTCAAAACAGTGCTTCATGGGTTGAGAGGCTTTTTGGAAGGAAGTCTTGATGATGCAGGCCAAGCCCCGCTGAAGCATCGCCCAGGCCCAACCCCGGACCCTGACGATGTCAGCCACATGGCCTAAACCCTGCATATACGCGACGTTTTGCGAGGGTTTCCCACAGGCAAGCAAAACCGCAAGCCCGAGCTGGTGATGCAGAGGTGCCTGATTTAGGCAGCGCATCACGACCAAGTGGCGAGGGTCGGCGGCACCAGGGTGCACCCCCTATAGCTAAAGCTAGCAGGCTAACTGCCTAGCGGCGACATGCTACCCCAAGGAGGCGTAGCCGGATAACCAGGCTCCCGCCTGCTGCCGCCGACCCTCGGCGCATGAAGGGAAAAGTCATAAGGACAAACACGTCCGCAAACTCTACGACCACAAACAAGGATTAACGGAAAAGTCAGAAATATGGCAGCTGGTCCGTTAATTACCGCTTGGGCCGGCTTGGTCTGGGATTGGTCAGGACCGCTTTCAGACTGTCCAGCCGGTCCCGGGATCGAGTCCTGGTGTGACCGCTGGCAGACCGGGACTTGGGACCTGTCAGGCTGGTCCCAGTCTCCAATCACTACCAGTTGCATCCCACGCCGGTCCCCTCTGCAGGAGGCTGGGACGGGAGGCAGAGGGTCGGCGGATTTACCGGGATCAAGGGGTTTCTCCAAGGTTGATCGGGGCCCGAAGCTTCCAATCGGAGTTTCTGTGTCTTCGCTGGTTTTAGGGAAGGCAAAACAAAACCAGGCAGAGTTGTGGGAGGGGTTTCTCCAACCACTTCTGCGATACTTTTGGGTTTATGCAACCCCTTTCACTGGGGGGTGATCGCTCTGAGTTTTTCTGTGATACTTTTGGGAATCTCCTCATGCAGAGTTGTGGGAGAGGTTTCTCCTGCCACTTCTGCGAGACATTTAGGTTTATGCAACGCCTGTAACTGGGGGGTTGGGAGTCTCCCCATGCAGAGTTGTGGGAAAGGTTTCTCCAACCACTTCTGTGATATTTTTGGGAATCTCCTCCTTACAAAAGGTTTAATTGTATGTGAGGTTAGTCTTTGGGGTTAGGCAATTTCTGCTGTATCGCAGAAGTGGTCATTTCCCACAGCCCTGGATCGTTTTGAGAGCCTCGGAGTCGGGTGAGCCACGTGGCTGGCGCGTCCGATTAGTTTTCGCTTGACAAATGGTGGGCGATGACCCCTTCGTTTTTTTGGAGTTCCTGGAGTCACAATCAGACCCTTCAAAACTAGTTGGCCATAACCCAAATCTTGATTTTGGGTCGTGACCACCCCCATTTTTCAAGGGTCAGAAGGTGACTCCAGGTAGGTACACTCCCTGAGACAGCCGAAGCTCCCCCAATTGGCCTCTGTAAATGGGCCCAAGTCCCGAAAAAAGACCCCCACCAATTAGCGGACGGAACCGAAAGGGGTTGTCCAATTCCGAAAAAGAGATTCCTCTGGCTTCTCCACCAAAATATCGGAGCTCTTTTGGGGTGGATGTTTATCAGGAAACCAACAGGACATATACCAATTGGGTGTTTATTCATTGAGAGCACCTGCCAAATCTGCAGTTTGGTAAATATCAGGCCATGGATCCAGCTAACCGATGGCAAAAGGTTGGCTATGGCAACTATCCTGGTTGCTTGGGTGTTCGGCCAAGTTAGCAAGTCGTTGGTAACCTAGGCCTGGATCTTAGAGGGGAAATATCCCAAGTGTGGCTAACCACTTACTAGCTCGGCCGAACATCAAAGTAAGTATCCTTCGGTACGGCACGGGCACATATTTGCTTACCCTATGGTGAATAGCCTCGTTTCTTTTGTGGTGGCAGGCAGCTGCATCTACTGGACCATTTGTTGAGGGGAAGCAACCAAACTTGGCTGCTTTTTGTGGACATTGTCATTCTTCACTCGCCGCCAAGAATCCTTTTAACTTTTCCCCCCGGTATCGCGCTCAATCATTTTTTTGATATGTTTTGGCATTTTAGTTACGAGGTTGTCAAGCGGCAGTTTGGAGTTCTGCTTCTTCTTCAACGTCTTGCTGAATGATCTCGAGAGGGTTTTATGACTTTGAGATGCCGTCCGAGGGTCTGAGACCAAGCCTGAAACCACCCGAAGGTTTGGGTGATATGGTCCTAAGTCACTCACGTGCTTGCTTTGAAAGCCACAAGGTATATAGGTAGTGAAGGGAAGCGATACAGGGGACATGTCCGGTTTCGCATAGAGATTTTCTGGGCCCCAGGGGTAACTTACAACAACGGGATGCTTGATTTCGGGTGCCACAAAGCCCTTGCGAAAGCACTTGGATGTTGAACGGGCTTGATCCTGTCCCGGACTTGATCTTTGGGGCTGCAAAACGCTCAGGCTTTTCTTGGCAATCCACTCATCCAGACCCCAGACTTCCCTAGAAAACCCTACCTGAGGCCCCTAAAATGTTCTTCTTTCAGCACCACTTGGAAAAATGACGTTTTTCCGAAAATTTGAGCACCAGATCGGTTTTTCTAGCACCAGAACGGCTTTTAGAACACCAAGGTGATTTCGCAACACCCATTTTTAGTTTTACGTAAAATGTACGACATGCGAACGGTTCGCGAACGGTTTGCGAACGGGTTTTGAACGGGTTTTAAACGCTTTACGAACGGTATTTCCAACACCAAATCCTAGGCACGGCCCATGTCGTGACGCAAAAAGAACGTAAACATGCAACGGATTATGCAAAAATCACGCAATCGACGGATTCCCAGCAAGCGACATCAGCAACATAAGGTTCGGTCTGCTCCGCACGCCCGAACGGTTTTTGTAGCACCAGTGTTGAAATTTCAACACCAAGAAGGCAAAACGATCATTTTCCTGAAAATCGATCAAATTCAACAGTTTTGGGGGCAGCAGGTAGAACTCCCCCAGAAAACCCTAGAACCTCCTAGAAATTTCTAGAAAACCCTACAACCCAAAAGAGAAAACTTCAGAACCTCCACAGAAACTGTTCCAGACGCCCGAAAACCTGCTCCTCGAAAATTGTCCACCAGTCGGGGCTTCGGCTTCGCAGGAGGAGGAGTCGGGCCTGCGCAGGTCCGAAGCAAAGATGGACTGGGGGGGAGAACAAGACGGGGGAAAAATGATCTTGAAATGGAACCAAGTCTTCCCAAGGGGTATGTTCGGGAGCTTCCATGGAATCGTCTGGGGGTGGGTTAGTCATATGGGTGGTAACCCAAGTTTTCTCTTCCACCAAGCTTGGTGCTCAGTTCAGATGGTTTTGTCTCTAACCACGCCATCCCCCTGGTTTTCCTTGAAAGCCCCAAAAACGGTACTGCCTTAAAAAGGGGCGCGGCTGAAGGGTGTGGCGAATGCCTAAAAAGGTGGCTGAAGTGTGTGTGTGTGTGTGTGGCGAAATAGGGTCACCAAGCTTGTGGTGTTCCGTTTTGTTTTTTTTCCTTTTCAACTCGCCTGAGGTACCCTCAAAAGGGCCCCAGTAGTGCCCTTTTACCCTTTTTTGGGGGTGGGATCCACTGGACCATTTGTTGAGAGGAAGCTCAAACTTTGTTGCTTTTTCTTTGGTGCATTTTGCCAAGGGATGTTAGGACTCTAACTTTTGTGCCAACGAATGTGTTTTCCGTAGTAAACCACTCAAAGTTAAGCTTTGAGCAGGGGAGTGGAAAGCATCCGAGGTGAACGGGGGGGGGCTTGGCATTTGTTGAGGAAATCAGTATTGTCTAGGTCCCAGCTAGGTGCCCTTTTACCGTTTCTTTTTTGGCTGGGTACTAAAATAGACTACAGAAAAAAGGGTAGCCTTATTGTAGCCTCTCTACTGGAGGGCCTAGTTGTCTTTATTTAGCGCCTGTGGGTTTTGAGTTTCTGGGATCTATCTCTACTGGAAATACCGTGTGTTGTTTCTATTTTTCCGGGGGGACTTGAGCAAATGGAGGCCGGGCCCTTGAGTTTGCATCTTGATCCCCGGCGAACGGATCTGACTTCATCACTGGTTGAGTTGAGTTGAATTGGAAAACTCCCATTGAACCCACAAGTGGGTGTGGCTCAAAATTCAAGAGCTAGGGTTACGCAGGTTTTAGTCTTTGGTTCCATGTACCAAGGGGGCCATTTTGGTACATCTATTTGAGCCACAGCCAAGTCAAAAGCAGCTTTTGGCAGAGGGGTCAACAGGTTTGAGGTTTGAGGCATGTTCCAAAGTCGTCCAAAAGACCGTGTTTTTTGGGCTGGTTGGCACCGCGCAAAAGACCAAGCACCAAGCACCAGAGCCCAAGACTGCAAAGACGTCTCCAAAGACATTTGGTAGGACACCTTTAGTGACATCGCCCGAAAGACATGCTGCCAAGACAGCTTCCAAGGCAGTCTCCCAAGCTCACCCCCCCCATCCATCGCCCAAATCAACCTCGAAGACAAAGTCAAAGATAGCCACCACACCATCCAACCGACATCACCGGTGGTTGTTGGGTAATTAACGACCGACGTTTGTCCTACGGTCGTCTTACAGGCTTTCTTCTTCGCTTCTGAGGGCGAAGGCCAGTTGTGGTCACCACAACAGGATTGAAGGTTTCGAGGGTAGCAAAACATGGTTGTCTTCCATTCGCCGAAATGGGGGTGGGTCAAAATTACAACACCAGGATGCGCAGAGTTTAATTAGTCCTTGGTTCCATTTACCAGGGCTCCATGCTGGGTACCTACTTTTGACCCACAACCAAATGAAGCGATCTTTTATTTTGCCCTAGTGGTTTTAAAGTTGGACTCTATCGCTGGGGCGAGAAAGCAAATGGAGGTTCTGGGACATAGGGTTCGCCCGCTTTCCGTGACACCAGACTCCCATCAAGCAGGCATACGACTTTGTGAGGAGGGGCAAGGTGTCCTTGCGCCCAGAAATTGCGGTATTGGGGTGGGGGGGTGGGGGGGGGTTCCTCCCTCAGACTAACAGCCGGAAGCCCCCAGAAGGCGCTTGAAATGGAACCAAGTCTTCCCAAGGGGTATGTTCGGGGGTGGGCTAGTCATATGGGTGGTAACCCAAGTTTTCTCTTCCACCAAGCTTGGTGCTCAGTTCAGATGGTTTTGTCTCTAACCACGCCATCCCTCTGGTTTTCCTTGAAAGCCCCACTGCCTAAAAAGGGACGCGGGGCGGTGTGGCGAATAGGGTCACCAAACTTGTGGTGTTGCGTTTTGGTTTCCCTTTCAACCCGCCCACGAGTACCCTTAAAAGGCCACCCACGACTCTTTTCGCATCGATCGGCGCTGACCCGGCCATGGCTCAGGCAGATTTCGGCTCGGCGACGCTGGGTATGAACCGCGTGGCCTTGCGTTTGCAAAATCAATACCATTGGACTTTTGTGTCTAGGTCCCCCAGCTACGTGCCCTTTTTCCATTTCGTTTTTTGGTTGGCCTAGGTGCAGGGACGTGTGTGATTCCACAACTCAGTTTCCGGAGCAGGCCACATCTCCTACCTCCCGGTCGACTGGGACAGACAGATTCGCGCTCGCAGCCATGTCGTGCAAGCACGAGGCAGCCTTGGCGAAGTTCCTTGAAGCGGTGGAGCAGTGTCCAGAACAGTTCCAAGAGGTTATCGACCGGATCCGCTCACGAGAGGAGGCAAAACAGGAGAGGGCCCGGGGAAAAGAATCATGGAACAAGTGCGGAACGAAGGGTGCAGCATTTTTTTGACAAATCGCCGTCGGATCTTTGGACTTGAGCGTTTGGACAAAAAGTGAAGAACTTTTGCAGAGGGGTTGTTACAGCAACCAAGACCAGCTTGAACAAGGGAAGGGGAAGCAGGGAAGATGATCAAACCAAGAGTTCTCCGAGCCTGAATCAGATGATCTCGCCAGGCTTGGGTGGACAATTACATGTTTTTTTTTTAGTTTTTCCAGAAAGGCGATGAGGTCTTTGAGGCACCGGGAATGATTGGGGGCGGGACCAGAGAAGGAATGTGATTGGAACGTCCATTTGCAGGCACTTCCATGTTTTGTTCGTCTTTTGAAAGTATGGAACTGGGCTTCAGCAGCCGGGCAGAGCACTTTCCTGTGACTTCAAACCAGGCCCACCTTCCGTTTGAAGAGTTTGACCGAGGTTTCTGAAACAGTTTGTTTGCAGACGCTCAAATGATAAAAAAGGCGCCCAAAGGAGTTGTTGACGCAGGTTGCAGGTGTTGTTAAAAGGTTGACCTTGCGGGGAAGGCAAGTAGGAGTTTGTGTTGAAACAATAGAGTTCAGTGAAAAAAACCAATGACTTTCAGCCAGCCCAGGAGTTGCAGCCCCATGTTCGCTTGCCAGGTGCTTGCACTCGGTCGAAATGTCAGGGGTTAGGGATGCTGAAAACTCCGGCTTTGGTGTGCCATTCGAGTCCCGACTTAGGGATCCCTTGTCATTGGTGGGCAAAGGGCGCCGACACCCACTCCAAGTGTTGTGGATCGAGCCAAGTTGAGGTCTTGGGTTGTATCCTCCCCCCCGTCTCCGGGCTGAACATGCGCCAACAGGGGCCTTGTCTTCAGGAGAAATTCGCGACACCGGACCGGCAACTTTTGCCAAAGGAGGAGGAGATGCCGTTCTCTCCAAACCCGTGCCTTGGCCGAGCTGCCATACTGTGGATGGTTGCGAGTCATCCATTTCGCACCATTCAGAACCCTGGTTTCTAAGGATTCCCCTGTAAATAACAAACAAACAATGGTCTCGGCCGTGGTTTCAAAGTGGTAAATGGATTTCGCACGCATTCACAGCAGAACTAGAATCGGGTTCTGCAAAGCGCAAAATGAGCATGTCCGTTCCGCGAGCTCACTGGGACCAAGGAGTAAAACGGGCGAAGGCCACAATCCTGAGGTCCTTTTCTTGGGGATTCAACTCTAAATTCAGCTTTGGGAGTTAAGCAAACTTTGCAGAATGGGAGTCCCGGGAGCCTCCGAGCAACTTCGCGGTTTCCATTTCTTGGTGGCTCCCAGCCATCGCCTTAGCCTTTTAGCTTTTTAGTGTTTAGTGGTAGTTTCCATTTCACCCATAAAAAGCTAAACTTTTAGCGGGGGATCTGAGGGCAGCCCAGGTAATACACGGTGGTTTCTCCGGCGCACCTGGAATGGTTTCGGCAAGCACGCTTTTTGTTTTGGTGTTTGGTCTGCACTTTCATCATTTGTTTTACTGGGGTTGTTCCACCTTGCGAATTCCCTTTATTTGATTGGTTGGTTGCCAACTTTGGGTTGGCAACCACTGTCCATTTAAGTCAGGGTTGTGGGATCAAGGGTCTATCCCCACTTCTGTATATAACATATTTCCCTCTTTGAATGGTAGGGGTAGTCTTTGGGGGACCTTTTTGTTGTATCACAGAAGTGGATTCCATTTCCCACAGCCGTGATTTAAGTTGCTCCTCCACTGTTTGTTCGCAGGCTCCCTGTTCCACCACAGAGGCTCGATGTTCAGTCAAACTTTGGATGTGAAGCTAGGACCTCGGCGAAAAGATCCTAAGAACCGGCTCGATTCTTTTTTGGCTTGGCCTCTCTTGGGCCGTTTGTGCTCGGAGACTGTTCTGAATTGGCAAGCCCAGCCATCCGGTTCCTTAGCTTGTCCGGTTTTTTGATGTTTTTTGGGTTTGGTGGTAGGTTGCGAATTTATCCCGCTGAAAGGTCAACTTTTAGCAGGACATTTGAGGGCCCAGTGGCTGCCTGGCGCGAACCACTTTGGACGTCAAAGTCGAGTAAAGTCGAAGCAATTAAACGACGCTTCTTGTTGGTTGTCGCTTCGTTTGGGTGAAACCTCAGAGGACCCGTTTGACAGGATCTAAGAAACGGCTTCCAGCTTACATAGCAGAATCATGCGTGATAGCGGTTTCGTTTGGACCCATTACCCGACATTTGGTCACCCAACACTTTGGACATCGCCTTTCTGGGTAGTTGTTTGCTTTTCTGGTGAAATTTGGATGGTGAATCTTGGATTTCAACCCTTCGGGTAAATTTGGGATGAACCACCCAAGCCTTCAAGCCTTCAAGCCGAAAAGCATCGGCTCCAAACCACCCATTCGGGAAGCTGAAACATGGATGGTTCATGGTGCCAAGGCCTTGGATATGAGCCATGGGGACCCGAGAAATGGCGAAGAAATGTCTGGCTTCAGGGCTTGAGGGCTTCAGGTAGTGTAAAGCTGGGTGTGGGTCAAAATTAAACCACCAGGAATTGGAGCGCAGGTTTTAGTCCATGTTTCCATTTACCAGGGTTCCATTTTGGGTACCTATTTGACCCACAGCCAACTGTGTGTTGAATTCTTTTTCTTTTTTCAGCTGTCTGGACATTTGGAAATGGCCACGCCGGAGTTTGACTCATTTTGCTTTCCGAACCGAGGTCTACTAAGTGCACCTTCTTCACGCGCATGGTGAGACTGTGACCGCCATACCCGGAGAGAGAATGAGAGAATGAGAGAATGACCGACGTCATGCGACAAATCTTTGCCCGTAGTCCCTGTTTTGCGTATCCGAAAGAAGGCGTTGATGTTTTTGGGCAGAGATTGTCCGGGCTTCCTTGGGCCCTTCCCAAATCACCCTTGTGCTCTTCTTTTTGATGCTGTGGATGGACGGAATCCTGCACCACTTTGAAACCATGGGATTCCATTGTTTGTGGGTATTTATATACAGGGGAATCATCATTCCAGGGTGTCTTGGGCGGTGCAGGACTTTGTTCGTCCACAGTAGGGTCCACAAATAGTGGACTTGTGAGTCTTTGTGGGTCTGTGATCAGTCCACACGCTCAAGGTGACTGCCGAATCCGATGTAGGATCTCGAGATCCCAACATACACAGGGGGCTGATCAATCTTCCGTTAAAGGCCCTCAGTTTTGACCAAGATCAAATTTTCCCATGTGATAAACACCAGGCGGCTTTTGGTCGGTTTTCCGACCAATGGTCATCCCTCACAGGACCTTTTGATCAGCTTTCAGGTGTGCGCCAGGCTGCGCCTTGCGCCCAAACCTTGGCATTTCCATTCCCAGCTCATGATGGGACCCCGGGGAGACGGGCGGGCGTTATCAGAGTCTTCCACCAGAATGGTGGTCTTTCCTAGACATCCCGGTTCCTTGGCGTTTTATATAGCTTTCTTGGTTGGTTCGGTGAGATTTTCTCCTTCTTTTTTTTCTCCGTTGAACCCGCTAAAAGTCAAACATTTTAGCAGGGGATCAGTTTGGAGAGCCGAAGAAGCCCTCCGGGGTCATGTGAAAATACGTTCGTTAGAAGAAAGACCCCGAAGGGATGTCGTTTCAAATTCCTTTGGGGTGGTGTTCCCTGGACTAACAGGGGTGTTCATCCGACATGTTTGCCCTTCTCTAGAATGAAAACGGACATGTGTTAAATCCTACTGTGGATGGACGAAATCCTGCTTTCATCTCTTATGCATGGGAAGAACCACCAGTCAACAGCAGGATTTCGTCCATCCGGAGTGGGGCAGGCACGCTCTCGGTCTCTCGGTGAGCTGTCGTGGAAAGCCGAAGAACGGCCAGGGTTGTGGGATCAAGGGCCCGCTTCTGTGGGAATCTCCCCCTTTAACTGGCAAGTTAGTCGTTGGGGTTAAGCCCTTGCTGTATCGCAGAAGTGGATTCCATTTCCCACCGCCTTGACAGCCCTACACATGGCCAAAGCTCCAAAAGTCTCGAAGAGCCACACTGTGGACAACACAGCTTGGTCCAAACTTCCCTTGAAGCAGCTTAAGTTCATTTCTTCATTGTTGTTGGGAAACATTTTGCATGGACCAAGCTGTGTTGTCCACAATGTGGCTCTTCAGGATTTTTTGGGCCTTGGCCATGTATAGGGCTGTCAGGGCTGTGGGAAATGGAATCAAATGACCACTTCACTGCTAGCATCTAAATTTTGCTCCCCTTCCAACGTCAACCAAGACGCCCCTCAGCCCGGCCGCGGGTCCGATCGCCTTGGGCAAACCTTTTGCGAACGCTCTGCTCGTGTTCAGCTGAGCTGGGACCAAGTCGCCTGGCGGAGAAAGCGGGCAATAAACGGTTGCTCCCATGCAAATCAACGTTGAACCCCCAAAACGGGCTTCCTGAAAGGAGTGTCTTCCACAGTTCCTGGCTTTTCGTCAATCTGGAAATGACGATTTTGGGGTAAAGCCCAGAAAGCTTACTGAGTACGTGGTCAGTAAGCCGGGTTATAACTCGCTGAACGGAGACTTATGGCCATGGCACAACCAAGCTTACCAACCACTTACAAAGTACCTTGCCTTTTTGAAGTCTTGGGGAGGCTCCTGTTTCCAGCCGGTGCGACGTTGGCCGCCTCAGCTGACAGATGGAGCTTTGGATCCTGAAGCTTCCATTGGCCGAAGGTAACCAGGCCATTGAACCTTCTGGACGTCAAGAGCATAGGGCTGGACAAAGCCGTGGAGTGAACTTCAGTTGTAACGGGCGCGATGTTTGTGTTTCTTTGTTTCCCCCGGTCCGCCGCGGTGTTCTTTTTTTTGTGTTGTTTCGGCCGTTTATGAAGTATACATATGGTGCTTCGGCCGAGCTTCGTTTGATTTACCGAAGTGATCCAGCTACCCCAAGAGGCGACCCAGGAAAGGTATGGAACCGCCGTCACCTAAGCAGCCTGGTTACCTATGGCCTGCCTGCTCCGCTGGGCCCATCTGAGGGGGGACACGAAGACTTTGCGCCTTGGTTCCACCTCTGACCTCGAAAAAGGCGCGGACAAAGGGATTCTCCTTGCTGGTGTTCTGTTCATTTTCTTCTTCAAGCCGGGCTGCGATTTGGCCAAGCCAGACAAGAACAAGGGTTACCGGGTTACCCCAAAAGGAGCAAAGGACGCTGCCCACAGAACCCCACTGAACGGCCGAAAGGCAAGCTGATACTTTGGAAGCAAATTAGGAGGATTGCCATGCGCGGGCGGGAAAAGGTAGCCAGGGATTGTCCAGCGATATTATTCGAAGACGGGATAGGGGGTTAGTTCAAGGAACACACGTGGACTGCTGGCCAGGAACCTGGAATTCGGTGCGGGGGCAGAAGGGCTTCTACCACGTGCCTAACTGCAGGACCCCCCCCCCAAAGAAAATGTCAACATGTTTTAAGAGCGACGGGATAGGGTGCCAAAAGCAGAAGGCACTTGCCCCCCAATCTTTCTAATGAAGCGCCCAAACTTACAGAAATCATGTTAAAACTCGCCAGGAAGATGGACGGCAGGGCAAATCGATTGTTCAACTCCAGATGGGCCGCGGGCATGATCATCAATCCTACTGTGACGGAAGTCTGACAGGCTTGCTGTCAATGGCACGATGCTCTGAGCGCCCAAACCATTTCCTTTTGGAGGTGGTCCGGCTGTGCCTGACTTCATGGTGATGGTAACAGCCGAGAAACAATCAATTCTCGACGGTAGAACGGTCGGTGGGTTTTGGGCGCGGCTCGGCTCCATTTTCAAGCGTGCCGTCCGCTCTCTCGTGACTGTGGGCTGTTCAGATCCGGATCCGTGAGCGAGCGGATGGGACTCCGTTGGCCTCCTTTGACTCACTACGTGATCTATTCTAGGTCCCTCAGTGCCCTTTTACCGCTTCTTTTGGGGGAAGGGTCCCCCTACTAAAATAGGCTACGGGAAAAATGTTGGTACCTTTATTCTATCCTCTCTACTGGAGGACCTAGTATTTGAGCGGCAGCAGTCCAGGCTGTTTTTTGCCCCAACAGCGCGGTGAGATCGGAGCAGCCCGTCAAACCCTGCACACCTCAGGCTGACACGTGGACTCTCCGGGAGGAGTTGGAAATCCAATGTGCGAGTCACAAGTTGCGCGGCGGGTCGGTGTTTGTTTCTCTTGGCCTTTGGGATCAAGTATTCAAAAAAGCACGTCAGAGTTGTCTTGACAGACATAGCCACAAGTAGATATACGGGAGTGGGTCAAAAACAGGCACCCCCAAATTCAACCCAGGTAAATGGAGATATGGACTCAAATCCGCGGTCTAATTCCTGGTTGTTTCAAACACCCACAGCCATATGGGAGTGGGTGAAAATTGCCCGAAATGGGCTGCCCTACATTCTAGGGGTTGATTCCAATTCCATTCTTTTCAGCCATCGTTCTTGTTAAGAGCCAGCCATTTCCCCAGGGTTTTTGGTGGTTTTCTAGAAAGATCAGGATCCCCGGAAAGCATGGAAATGGAAGGTACCCCTAGATACATGGAAACAAGGACCAACACGCTCCCCGAGCCTCGCGTCGATCCAGGCTGGAGCAGCGCTTTGATGCCCAGGACGGGTTTCGGGTGTTGAAGTGTTTTTGGCGCTGGGGCGCGGAGCGATCAACCACAAGGGGGCATGGAAAGAGTGAGCCAAGGGGCAAAAGGAAACCGGTCCCTTTGTCGGTCTTGAAGTTGGATCCTATCGCTACTGGAAAGTTTCCCCCTTTTTTTCTTCTCCAAAGGGGCTCGAGCAAATGGAAGGTTGTCCGATGGGTGCAACCCCTTCAGGAAGCACTAAAATGTGTGACTGATAATATGTAGTGTTCTTTCAGAGGATGATTTGGGTATGGGTAAAAATTAAGCACCATGATATGGACCGCAGGTAAGAGGTCCATGATTCCATTTAGTAGGGTAAACCATGTTGGGCCCTCCATGTTGTGGATGGTTGCGAGCAACAAACAATGGCTTCAACCATGGATTCAAGCTGGTGCAGGATGTTTGTCAATCCTCAGGGGTCGACCCGGACCGATCCCATGGGAAGGTTGTAAGTACACTCATTTCAAGGCAGTGGCGGGCCTTCTTCCAGTTGCTTAAGAATATGATGGCACTTTTGACTGGTTGGTTTTGAAGTTGGAATTTATTGCCGCTGGACATGCGCTTAATGCTTTTTTTCAGGGGGCTTGAGCAAATGGGAGGCTGTGCTTTTTGTGGAGCCCCCGGAAGATCCATGGGATGTTCGTTACGTTCGTGTCTGTGGTTACCCACTTGGGTGAGCAACACCCCAAACAAGCTGAATCCCCGCTGAAGGCGAGGACTTAGGAGTGGGTTACGTTCTAGGTTACCAACAGCGTGCCAACTTGGCAACGAGCACCCAAGTAGGGAGTTTCCTTCCTCGAGTTCAGGCGGACTAGTCATGCAAAGAAGGATCTCCCCCCGCCATGCGATGTTTGGGGAAAGACCCATGGCAACAAAAGCGTAGCTCACAGGCAGTTTTTTGGGGAGCTCATGCACAAACAAAAAAACAACTGCGCATAGGTTTGCCTTGGCAGCCAGGAAAGTAAGCCGGCGGCTTTCCGAGGTTCAGACCTAGGTAATATTTGGGTGTCCAAAAGAAAGCAAGAGGCAGGGACTCCCCTGAGACGACCGCCGGGACTGGTGACTTCCTGGGCCCATGGTAGACACCAGTGTCGACCAGAATGCCCCGAATGCGAGCGAGGGCTGGATGAACCTAGAGCGGGCCTTGTAGATTCACCCGTTCTGGGTTCACGGAACAGCCGGTTTTCAGGGGGCCTGGTGTTTGGGGCAATACTTGATGGTGAACTCATGCGCCTGAGCCTCTAAGCTTATCATTTGCAGATATTCCCTTCTGTCTGCAAATGGTGGGCATGTCTTGGCCTCTCACCAAAAGCCTGAAGCGAATGAGTCTGGCCTTGTTCTGTGCCTTTAACTTCGGTTCCAAGGATGATGAGGCCCGGAACCGTCCCTAGGGGACCCCCCCTCAAATAAACTAATAATGCGTCGTTCCGTTGTTCCTCTTGATTTCCTTTTCAACACCAACCCCCCCCCACCAAAAACAAAAGAAGAAGTTCTGTTTTTCCTGTTGATGTCCTTTGGGTCCCTTTGGGGGCGGGACCAGGAGCAACAGGGCCCGGAGCCTCCGCTGGTGGAGCTCTTGCGGAGTACGGTTTCGAATCCGCAGGACAGCGGGGGCCTCAATGGGTCCCGTTGCCAAATGGGTACTGGTGATAAGTTCTCTGGACAGAAAACCGAGATGGCTGTGGTTGTCAAAACCGTTTTGGGATCCCATTTTGGGGTAGGTGCACTGACCACCCATTGACCACCCATTTTAGTCATTTTAGTGGGGATTGGGATTCACTGGGGCACGGGACTTTGACCCATGGCCACATGGTTCTTTGGCTGTCGAAAGTAGTCGGTAAAAAACCCAAAAATGTCGCAAGCCCGATCGGTCAATGGAAACACCAACTCAGAGGCGAAACCGACATGCTGCTTCTTTGACCCTCTTTTAGGGCTAGCAAGGTCAGAACGCAGGAAAAGTGAGCAGAAGTGAGGTTGTGCAGCCAAAAGTGCAGCCAAAAATGTCAGAAACGCAGCTACCTGAGGTGGTGCTACCTTTGTTCAAGGTTGTGTAGCTCTGTTTGTGTTTTTCTTGAGGGGGGTGAAGGAGAGATGGAACTTGGCAGGCTCTGTTGTTTGGGAGTTTTCAAATCTCTTGCTTTAGGGTTACCAAACTCTGCGATTCTACGCGTGTCCCCTTTGTTTTGAGGGATCATGCCTTGCAACTGAAGGTTGCATTTTCCATCATTTACTATGAATGATCTCATGTAGTCTATGACTTTTATACTCTAGGGTGTTGAAGCGGGTTTGAAGGCGTTCTTCTAGGGGTACCTTCCCCATTCTTTCCAGGGATCCTTCTTTCCAGAAAACCTCCGGAAACCCAAGAAAATAGTTGGTTTTTCGAAAAGAACAATGGTTAAAAATAATGGTTGGAATCAACCCCTAGAATGTAGTCTATCACTTTTATACTCTAGGGTGTTGAGGTGGGTCTTGGTTTGCTCTCCGCCAAAGTGAGGGGTTGCCCATTCTGGGACCGATCGTTTCGCAGCCGCTGTCTACTGAGCCGTTAAGAGTCGATGTTTGTTTTCACATGTGGGCGTGGCTCAAAATTAAGGAGCCAGGGTTACGCAGGGTTTAGCCTTTGGTTCCAGATGCCAAGATACCATCTAAGTACTTTTTTGCGAGCCACAGCCATGTGGCTATGAGCGTTTGGACATGAATACCTAAATGAAGTTCACCAAGGGTGCCCCAAAAAGATCCGCACCCCATTAGTAAAAACAGTACCAGCAGCACAAGCACCCAAAATAAGCGGTTCAACACCTGCAGGAAAATGAGCCCAGAGGTACCTCAAACCTATCCGCACAACTTTTCGCGATGGTTCGAAGGGGCTAAGGCATTAAGGCCCGGGCCGCATTCAGGCCAGGGCCCCGTTCAAGTTTGGATTTCCAAAAGGAGCTCCTTTGTATGGACTAGGTCCCCCAGCAGTGCCGTTTTACCGTTTCTTTTTTTGGGGAGGGTTCCCCTACTAAAATAGACTACAGAGAAAATCGGGTACATTTATTCTAACCTCTCTACTGGAGGACCTAGTGGAGATTCTGAATTCTTTGGAGGGCAAATGATGTTTAGAGTTCCAGGATTCTTTCCACCAACTCCCCTTTTTCGCCAGCTATCCTTGCAAAAAGATGGCCTGGGACTTAGCTAAATAGGTCGCAACCCTGCAAACAAAAGGGACTTGGTTTCCCTATGCCCAGCGGAGGCAACGTGTGTTCCAACATCTTCGGCTGGCAACGAGTGGATTCTCGGCTTCGGCTTTGCAGAGCTGAGGCGCTGAGAGTGAGACGCCATGGGCGGACCGCATCATTTGAGGAAAAACAAATCGGCGCGCTGGCACCGGGCTTTGTCAAACTGGCTTTAAGCAGCCACCAACTAACATGGGTTTGTGCAAAAAGGCCAACTCACCAAGAGGGAAGTAGTGTTTTTTACAGGGGTCTGTGCACTTCCATGTTGGCTAGTGGGAGGGTAACCAGCCAGCCCTTGTCCCCTTCAAGGAAACCACAAGCTGAAAACATCGGCGCGATAGGACATCATGGACCTGTTGCTTTCTTGACAAGCCATTTGGAGGTTGATCAAAAGGTCCTATGAAACATAGGATGACAATTGGTTGGAAAACCATCAACAACAGAGGTGCCCCTTCTTTTGCGACTGGAGGCCGGGGTCATGGGTCTCCGCTTGTCACTAGGCAGCGTGTTTGGAAGACTTCAAGCGAAAAAAATGGTCCTTTCGTCGCATCCATCCACCGTTGGGGCGGGGACAACAGAAAGGTTTCACAAAATCCAAGGTTGCCTGAATATGGGCCATGATTTAAGCGTGTCATGTTTAGTTCTGGGCAACAGCTGGGGTAGATATGGTGGGCACATGTACAGTGAGTTTTGCAACTACCCGAATGCATCATGCGTACATGGCAACCTGAATACTTTTGCAACTCTAGACTAGGTTGTGTTTTTTTGCAACATATTTGGGGCCCTGCTTACATACCCCAAATGGGCATATCAAACACAGTGGCAATAAATGAGATATACAGGGGCATCCAGGGTACAAAAGCCAAGCACCATCCTTCTATAGAGCTTATTGGCGGGTATGCCAAGTAGGGCCTTATAACATAGGCTCTAAGTTTCCATAGCGCCGGTTGTCTTTGCGGAGACTGGGGGTTGCCGGTTTTCAAAGGGCGCCTTGGGTTTCTTCATTGGCACCCTTCCAATCCCTTTTGGTTGGTACTTGTGACGGTCGTTTTCTCATCGCTTATACCCACCATAACGGCATCGCTCTTGCCGGCGAGTGCTCGTCGCGCATACCCGCCGCCGCGCCGATTTGTTGACCAGAGCGAGGAATTGTAGGGAAGGGCCAAGGACCCGTGAAACGCAGAAGCGAGGACCGGGAGCAAAAGCGAGGACCAGGAAGGCGCAAGAGTGAAGACCGGGGAGGCGCAGAAGCGAGGACCGGGAAGGCGCGGAAGCGAGGACCGGGAAGGCGGGTGCGGAAGGACCGGGAAGGTGCAAGAGTGAGGACCGGAAAGGCGCGGAAGCGAGGATCGGAAAGGCGCTTTGCTCTTGAGGAGACGAACCTGCCGACCCTGTTCAGGCGCAAGCGCAAGAATCTCCTGTTGTTGGCATATGTGGATGATTGCGTGAAGGCTGGGAGTGATGGTGCTTGTGCTTGGTTGATGAGACTGGCAAGAAGTTTGAAACCAAGAAGACTGGTCAGGCCGGTTGGATGCTTGGAGTTTCTTGGAAGGGAGATTCGGCGTGTGTCTCAGGATGGACCCATTTGTCTTGGGCTCCCGGCTGCTTATTTTGATGCATTGGAGGAAGGAAACGGATGTGCCTCCAGAGATGAAGAAGTACGAGTTGCCGGAGAAGCTGGAGAAGGACCGATTGCTGAGTCGGGACAAAGCGGAACAGTACCGGTCCACTTTGGGGAAGTTGAGTTGGTTTTCTAACACTTGCCCCCCGCCTTTGTACTTCGTGAGTTGGCTGTCTCAGTACCAACAACGGCGTGCTTTGAGAGATAATTGCGGTACGCCAAGTCCCGCAACTTGGTTTCAGGAAATCCCTTCTCCATGGGTTTGGTTGAGCTTCATGAGGGGGACATGACGGTGGTTGGAGTTTGTGACGCTTCTTGGAGAAAGGCCAGCTACTCAGGTGGGATGGTCTTTGCCCTAGGAACACGCATCAAGTGTTTCCAAACTTGTCCACTGCGGAAGCAGAATTGGATGCGCTGACAGAGATGGGGAAAGAGGCTCTGTACGCTTCGCTTGCGTTGCAAGTGCTCTTGGAGGGGCTGCCGACAGAGGTGCACATTTGCGAGTGGCACAAGGAAGGTCACTACCCCGTGGTGATCTACTCAGACAGCGAGAGTGCAGGCAACATTGCCAAGATGGAAGGTCTCCTGCGCCGTGTACGGCATCTTGAACTTCGGATGTGCTGGATTCAGCACACTGTCGCGAAGGGTCGGCTTGCCATTAGGCACCTTCCGGGTGAGAGGTGAGAGCAATCCAGCAGATTCCCTTTCAAAGTCTTCAGATCGCAAGCATGCTCAGCTTTTTGTGGACGTCTTGGCTGGCTCGGTTGGGCGTGGACGCCCAAAAACGAAACAATGTCCTTTCTGGCCCTCAGCCTGCTGAGAACCTTCACCAACAAGTTTTCATGTTCCCGAACATCAAGCCGGGTAGCTCCCGTGAAGCTAAAGCAAGGGATGCCCTTACTCAACACACAGCTTGGACAGCTCCGAGTCCTCCTTGGCGCAGAACGCCACCATCACTCTCTTAAGATCTGAGCCACCTTTGTGGAAAAGGTGCAAGGCATTCTTTCAGCCCTCGGGAACCTTCTTGAGCAACACCCGCAAATCACGCGCACTCCTCAGACTCATCCAAGTACGTCACCTCAACGGAACTCAAGGTCCATCCACAGGCACAGACATAATGGCTTCACCCGGAATCAAACCTGGTCCCTTTTCACAAATCGCCGTCTCATCTGGCACCTCATGCGCCAGCTGACCCAAGACCCAATCAAGCTTCTCTTGCTTAATGGCCTCTGTCCCATGTACAGCACGATGTCCGTTTCGTCATTTGAACAAGCATGAGCCTAGCTACAAGTTGAAAAGGGCCAGGCAACTGCAGACGAACCGTTTGTGCTGGAATGCTATTTCACGCATTGTTGGGAGCACCAAGTGTCATCATGTGGTTGCTCAGGAATGGCCTGAGGTGTGCTCCGGCAGAACAGAAGCTACCCGAGGGCTGTGAGAAGTCTAGGACTTGTGCGTGAGGCCCGGGTGGATAGGTGTGCCAGACCACGGATATGCCTATTGAGGCCACTATGTATATCTTTTCGGGTGCACAAGTATTTCAGGACAATCCCAATTGCCATCACCTGAATCGGAATCATCGTGCAAAAAGAATGCGGCGATGCGCCGCATGCCAAGCTCTCTGGAGATGAGCGTGCCAAGCTCTTCGGAGATCGGCGTGCTGGGCTCTTTGGAGATGGGCTCTTTGAGAATGAGCAGCAGGAAACAGGCCATGAGGGGGTGTGAAACTATGTGCACAGGTAGTTTTTCGTTGATGACATGTTAGGCAAACTGACCTCCGTAAAGCTCATCTGTCATGCAAATTGCACACGGCGGAGCTCTCACATATGGTCAGACCTAAACCTGCAACTAGTGACATGCACAAACAAACGGAAAAGCGCACAAGGCTTCGTGCAACTGTACTGTGCTGCACTGCACTGCAAGCGTATTCCACACGTTCCAGCACACTCTCGTGCAAACAACTGCCCTATACCGCACTGCGCTGCAAGCACATCTCACAATCTGCAGTGCGCCCCACTGCAACCAACTCCATCCAGATGCAACTCAAATGGTTGCACCAAGCAAGGCAAGACAAAACTTTATCTGACATGTCATCACGTCACGCCGCAACAGCAAACCAAATCTGATCTGACATGTACTCACGTCATGCTGCGACAGTAACTCGAATCTGATCTGACACGTTATCCCGTCACGCAGCAACCTGCAACTCAAACCCGCTCTTTCATACGCTCTGCAAACCTGCAGATCCTCAGGGTTTGATCCTTTCAAACCACAAACAGGGAAAAACCACCCCAAACAGAAACAAAAGGGGATTAGCCACACACAAATCGAGCGAAACAAAGTGGCGACGAAAACAAAGTGACAGAAAACCTTCAAACGGCACACCGCGCCAAAACGCAAAGGCAGCAAAGCAGGACAACCTGCCTCCCCAGAGGTGCCGGAAGACTCTGTTTGTCGTGGTCGTGTCGCTGTTTGGTTGTCCGTGTTTTCGTTTTGTTTTGAACAGATGGAAGAAGCAGATCTTTTGGTTTTTCTTCAAAATGCCAGACAGTTCATTTGCTGAAGGCAATTTGAATTGCAAGAGAACGCTTTGCGAGTTGTGCTTCGCGGCTCAAGCGTGGCTCACGGACTGCAGCGGTCCGATAGAGGAACTGTTTCGGAGTTCCAATTTTGGGGTTCGCTGCCTTTCACATAAGCCTTTTCAGTTCCCTGTGTTTCCCGCGAGCTTCTAAATCTGTTTCGTTGTTCACATCCAAGTTTGGGGCAAAAATCGTAAAAACTTTAGAGCCTCCGGCTCAGTCCGCCGACATTGTCCTCTCCCTTTTCTCCTTCTTCCTCTCTCCCTTTTTTTCTGGTGTGTTCTGTCGTCCTCTCTCCCTCCCTCCGCTCCCCATCCTCCCCATCCCCCCAAGCCACTCTCTCCCCAATCTCCCTCTCTTGTATGTATGTATGTATGTATGTATGTATGTATGTATGTATGTATGTATGTATGCATGTAGATATGTATGCATGTATGTATGTATGTATGTATGTATGTATGTATGTATGTATGTATGTATGTATGTATGTATGTATGTATGTATGTATGTATGTATGTATGTATGTATGTATGTATGTATGTATGTATGTATGTATGTATGTATGTATGTATGTATGTATGTATGTATGTATGTATGTATGTATGTATGTATGTATGTATGTATGTATGTATGTATGTATGTATGTATGTATGTATGTATGTATGTATGTATGTATGTATGTATGTATGTATGTATGTATGTATGTATGTATGTATGTATGTATGTATGTATGTATGCATGTATGCAATGTAATGTAATGTATGTATGTATGTAATGTAATGTATGTAATGTATGTAATGTATGTAATGTATGTATGTAATGTGATGTAATGTAAAGTAAAGTAAAGTAATGTAATGTATTGTAAAGTAATGTAATGTAATGTATGTATGTATGTATGTAATGCGATGTAATTTAAAGTAGTGTAATGTGATGTTGCGTAATGTAATGTATGTATGTATGTTTGTATGTCTGTCTGTCTGTATGTATGTCTGTATGTATGTATGTATCCTTGCACTTCCCCTTTGCTCCCCAGTATTTCCCGCAAAAAACACTGTTTTTCCAGCGTTTTCGCAAAGATGATGTCCAAAAACACAGAGTTTTTACAGATTTTCGGCAAAAGGATGCAGGAAGCCCAAGCCAGCAAAAAAGCCGGCAGGGGGAATCGAGCCTGGGACCCCTGTTTTGCGACACCGGGTCCCCGAAGACTACGTTTAGTGGAACGTCATCAAATTGCCGTGCGGTCCTTGGGGGGGGGGGCCCCCCCACGTATCAGACGTCGGGTGGGGCGGGGTTAGGGGGGGGGGTTATCCTCTATCCTCTCTTAGGTGTCCGACACGCCGAGCAATGTCGGCGGATTTGCGCACGCTAAACTTTCGCGCAATCGCTCTCACTGTGGCGCGGAAGCTGCAAACCCTGAACCGTTGTCAAGCCAGTGGGATTTGCCGCGCAGCGCGCTGGATGCGAGCTCGACGGCGCTGCCAAGCCATTGGGATTGCTTCTAAAACGCTTCTCATTCGGGGGTCTCGCGGCGCCGCTCCACGTCTTTTCGCCGCTCGCTTGCGCTTTCTGCTTTCGCAGGCTCGCCCGACCGATGGCCGCCGAGTTGTCCACCTTGTCCCTCCACTATGCTCTGAAACACATGGCTGGCGCAACAAATTCGAGCTCCATCCACAAAGCCCGCGACGCCCTGCGCGCTCCATCGTGTTAATCTGCCTCCTTAAGCACAATCCCTCGCGCGACGCCGCTCGGTTGTCGACGGAATCTTGATTTCTGGCGGGCTTCCGTCTCACATCTCAGAGGTCACTTGGCTGCAATAAACCTCCGCAAGCGCCTTCCCATCCAGCGCCTCGCGTCGTCGACAAAGATGGGCGTTAGACTCCGCTGCTTCGTCGGTCGCCGCTTGCTGTTCTTGCCTGACGCAACTTCCTGCGCTCGCCGCTCGCCACTCTGCTTGTCGTGCGTTCGGTTTGTTGGTCCCCGCTGGCCATGTGTGTAAGCTGGCCCTTGATAGCGGGCCTGGGTGGGTGGGATTGAGACTGTTGATAGACGTTGCTTTGAAGGTTTCCACGTCTTGAGTCCTGTGAACCCTAAACCCTAAACCCCAAACCCTAAACCAACCCTAAACCAAGCCTCTGAACCAACCCGTAACCCTGCGTAAACCAGCCCTGAACCAAGCTTGAACCAACCCTAAACCAAGCCTGAACCAACCCTAAACCACGCCTAAACCACCTAAACCAAGCCAAAACCCCTAGCCTGAACCAACCCCAAACCAAGCCTGAACCAACCCTAGTCCAAGCCTAAACCAGCCGAACCAAGCCTAAACCAGCCCTAGTCCAAGCCTATTACCCTACTCATCTTGAAGCAGGTTTTCATCAAAAAGAATCCTGGCCGGCAGAAAGAGTCGAGTCGCCACAGGCAGCCCGAAAAGGAAAGGAATTTTGGCCTGCGGGGGGGGGGGGGGGCAAGTGATTTCCTTTCTTGGTCTCTTCCGCAACACACTGAAAACACCGCGCCCGTGCAGCAATCCAGCAGCAACAGGCACTGAGCCAAACCTCCCACTAGCTGAAAAACTAGCTCTAGACGGCCCCGCCAGAACCCTAGATTGTCGCCCCTGTGCGTCAACCAGCTGTGTATGTGTTTTCGCTGGCTGGTATAAGTGATGAGAAGCCGGGTGGCGCAAGTGATGGGGGGGCCCTTTTGGTTTGCACTGAAACTGGTCATCCCCAGACAAGGGGTCCCTTCTTCTACCAGGGTCACTGAACAAGTGGATTTTAGGAACACCCAAAACGGTTCTTAGAGGAACGCCAGGCGTTTGGGAAAACGATGCGTTTTCCACCAAAAAATAGAATCCCAGCGCTCACCGGTCGCAAAAGGGATCGGAATTGGAAGACTGGGAGTCACCTCGAAAAATGGGGACGATCTACCCAGAGGACCAACTGCTGGCCTTTTCACACCTGTTACTCCTGTTCCCTTTGGGATGATTCACCAACTCGCTTACGAAAAACATGAGACTGTTTTTCCCGGGGGTGATTCACCAACTCAACGGTGACTCAACACCTCCAACCATCGCCTGGGACTGATTCCCCATTCTTCCATGTTCTCAGGATCGGGCACAGAATGGTTGCCAGGTAGTCCTAGGATTTGTGGATGGGAAGCCTAAAAATAGAACCTATGGAATCGGGTGCCGCCCATGTCGAACTTTGGGAGAAGCAACTCAAACACTCCAGTGGGGGGATCCGATTTTTTTTTCGGAGAGCTCCATGAATTCCGAGACCCATTCCTCCGCAGCCGTTTTCGCCCATGCAGAGCGCATGGCTCCCCATCGGCGGCATCCCGCGCGCACGGCTGCGAGGCGTGAGGGATGTGGCACCACCGGAGGTTGGATCTTGGGAACGGTTTGGAGGCGATTCTTGTGGAATCCACCCCTGGGGAAGAACAGGTGAAATCCGGAGAAAGCGCACGCAAAGCGTTTTCTAGATTAGAGGGCAAGGGAAAATCCCCCTGCCATAGATGGGCGCGGAAGTCCGAATTCGTTTTCAATCCTTTACGTGGTTCGTAGACCATTTCAATACCAGGTTTTGAATATTTATGACTCAAGTGGGTGTGGCAGCCAAAAAGCGGAATCGGCCCAAAATGGGTTTGCCCTCATAAATGGAAAGATAGACTACACGCGGTCCCCTGAAAATCTCGTAAAGCTTCAACTCTATGGAAGCAACTCCAAAGTTGGCGGACATGAATCACCCCTGAGTTTGTATCATTCCGACAACACATTTGGGGGATTTGTTGGGTTCCATGCCGCTGCTTGGGGTCCCATCTTGGATCCCCCAGCCAGGTACGCCGGGAGCGCACCCTGAGAGCCTCCGGAGCCTATGGCGGGTTCCATTGGCGCTCACATGGAGCCATGTCAGCCGGGGCCTGAATGGGAACTCACTGGTGACATACTGTGAATGGACGAAATCCATTTCGCACCACTTGGAAACCATGGGAAACCACCGTTTGCTGGCATTTACAGGACAATCATCAGAAACCCGGCTTTCTTAGGTGGTGCGAAATGGATTTCGTCCATCCACATTATCACCATTTTCAGTGAGTCAGCCGTGTTCAGTGGTAGGTTAAAGCAACCCCCCCCCCCCCCATTTTCCATGTTCTGACTGTACCCCTGGATTCAGGGTTAGACCTCGGGTCACTTTTCGGCGTGGCCCTTTGGCACCCCGTCTTAATCCAGCTTGGGATGGAACATGGCACTGGCCAAGCGGGACATGTGACTCGTGGGAGCCCCACAAGCCTGGCTCCCCGCCTGCGGGTGGCCGAAATCATCTCCACGTGGGTGTCTGCTTTTGGGGGCATTTGGGCTCAAAGGAAAGCCAGCAGGAAAACCACCCACACAGCACCGCGTGATACCGCGTGGGTTGGTCTCCAAATTTGGACCCCCCAAGAAGGCTTGGTTAAAACCTGTGACGGGGTACTTTCAAAAAACAGACGCGCCTGTAAGGCTCGGTATCATCTAATGCTTGTTTCTCTTTCTTCAATTGATCGAAACGATGTCAATCCTAGGCGTCGGGTACGTTGATCACGTATCTTGGCTCACTTCCTGATGGACTGTATTGTCACTTTGGGGGTCTTGACCATTTTAGCGGCAAGCAACACGGTTGAGATCTTTCATTTTTTGGCCAATCCACTCAGGAAGTGAGTTGCCGTTGTTGCTTTTGTGGGGGAGGGGGGTATCACCGGGTGAGGTTTTCTTCGCGGACGGACGGCTCGGCGGGCCCGGCGCGGTTCCCGGCCTGCGCATGGGTGGCCAGACTCTGTTTTTTCTCTTCTTTTTTTTTGGGGGGGGACGACACTGGGTTCTCCTTGAAAACCGGGTTGACTCCCCTGCAGTTTCACACCCAACATTTGTAGAAACTCCTTTTGTGAAATGGACCCTTTTGATTTCCAGGTCAATTTACAGGCGAATATCCTCCCACCCATGCAACCTGACGTAGAAGGGGAATCGGTGCTGCTTTGGACCATTGTCCTTTGAAAGGCCCCGCGTTTATGCAAAGGGGGCTGTTGGGGGTTCCACCTGGGCTTAGTTGAACACAGATGAGGATGAGGACCAAGAAAAGGAGGTTGTTCAAACAATGGGGCCATGGGTCAAAATCCAAATCGTACCCCCAGTGAACATCCCAATCCCCATTAAAATAGGTTCTAAAATGGGTGGTGCACCTACCCCAAAATGGTCCCATTGGTTTTGACAACCAACAGCCATGTAGTAGGGGGTTGGCCCAACCCTGGTTCCTGGAGGTACCGCACTGCAAGCCTTAGCCCAAAGAGTGGAAAAAGGTCGGGTCCAGGTACCCAACTCCGGGTACCCTTGAGCTTGAACGAAAACCCTTGTTTGCTTGGTAAAAAGGTTTCCTCGGATTGATAAAAATGGGAGCTTGGAGCCCAACGAGCAACTCCGGGCTGGTTGTATCTGGTTGTTTTGCTTGAGTTGCAAACTCGGGGACTCCAAACTTTGGCGAGACTGATATCATATTCGATAGGACACAAAGAACAGAAGATGCCAAGACATCTATGAGAGCAGATATATTATGAACAAAATCTGGAGATACTCACAGAAAAAATACTGCCGAATCCAAATGACAAGCCAATGCCTGGGTGTTGGGGATGGCAGGGAGTGCCCTTTGATGGCATTTGTGGGAAGGTTAGGGAATCAGACATGCAGAAAGTCGCCCTGTGCTGTCTCCGTGGTAAAGTTGTGTTTTATTTCTTTTGGGGAGGGGGAGGCAACAGCCAACTGACCTAGCACCCAAGCAGTTTTCCTCATCTACCCCCAGACATGTTGTAGACACTTCCAGTTTTGAGGGATCAGTGTAAGATGGTGCTCAACATCCCATGGTTTGATTGACCCTCCCACCATTCCCGGATCCGTGATGTCCAATGGTCGGCCCATGTGTTTTGGATCGCCTGGTTGCTGGGGCTTTTTATGGAGACCCAGTTGTTCAGTGACACCCTGCACATCCCTTTTTGCTTGATGGCTTCCCAACCCAAAACATTCCTTTTCCTTTCAGGGGCACTGAACCGGGCAGAAGCAAAGAGAAGCTTCCCGTTCCTTCCATGTGCTGAGATGAACACTGGTTTGTTTTCCCTTGTTGGTTTTAAAGCTGGACTCGATTTCACTGCCGGACGTATGTTTTAGGTCTTCCAGCAAAAAACTTGAGCAAGTAGGGTTGAGCAACAGCTGCCGGATATTTGGAGATGTTCCTATTCTTTCCAAGGGGCGTAAGGCGCAACATATTTCTAGGGGTACCTTCTCCATTCAGTCCAAAGCAACCATCAAAACCCCAAGGGAAACGGCCGGTTTTCGAAAAGAACGATGGTGGGAAAGAATGGGAGATCAACCCCAAGAATGGTGCTCCAGGAATGAGGGAATGAGCCTGGGGATTGTTTATAGGAATGGTTTAAAGGAAATTATAGGGGATCCGCCCTTCTCGCGCTGGGCTCGCTCGCTCGCTCGCTTGAGGCGCTGGCGCGTGCGCCGCGGGGAGGTTCCTTGGCGCACGCAGCTGCGCAAGACGCCGACGACCTCCCGGAGCCCGGAGATCTTCCACGAGGCGCACGGTGGACGAGAGAGAGCTCCACAGTTGAGGCGTTGAGATCTCGCGTGGGGATCTGTTTCCCCGATTTCCGCTGCTTTTTTTGGTGGAGGGGGGCGGTGGATCCCAACAAAAAGTGGTTCGCAAGAGTGGTGCAAATCCACCACCCCCGGAAGAAAAAGAACAAACACAGAGAAACACATGCAGCCCCCCCCCCCCAAAAAAAAAAAGTGCCCGAAAACAGGAGAAACACATCCAGCACCTCAAAAACATGAACAAGGTGCCCGGACTTATTTTTATGGCTTCTTGGGCCTTAAACTCAGCTCCGAAGTGGCTCAAAGGCAGCCATGACTGAAGACTGGACGCCTGCGACAGGAGGCGGTTTTGGACGGCGCAGCGGTGGAGCTTCTACGGGAGACCGAGGACTTCGCCCTGGTGAGGCCGCGAAGCCAAGACAATGGGCGGAGGGAGATACTTTAGGGAATCTCCCCCTTTAATCCTTTGCTGGCTGCCTTTTGTTTGGCCAATCCCATACTTATCAGGGATACTTTGGTTAGTCTTTGGTCAGGCTTCTGCTTCGCCATGCTGGGCCCAGGCGAAAATGTATTTTGTCGCAGGGTTGTGGGATCAGGGTTCCAACCACTTCTGTGAATCTCCCCCTTGAACCGGGGCCCCGGTTAGTCTTTGGCTAGGCCCTTGCTGTATCGCAGAAGTGGGTTCCATTTCCCACAGCCCTGATACTTATTCTAGGGCTTGAAATTCCAATTCGAACATTCTTTTCAACAATCCTTTTTAAAAACCGGATCCGTTTTCCCTGGGTTTCCAGAGGTTTCCGGGTTGTCGCCAAAAAAAAGAAGCAGCGGAGGGACAAATGAATTCTTGGGGCCCCTGGACATGGACTGGACACAACACCCTGGCAGTTTTCCTTCGGTTTGAGTTTGACCCGCGCCCATTTCTCCTTCAGGTCTCCCTTAACATGGTTGTTGTTGGGACATATTGGCTGTGGCTCAAAATTAAACAGGAGGGGTTACGCGGGATTTGGTCCATGTTTCCACTTACCGGGGTTCCATTTTGGTATTTTGAGCCACAGACACATGTTACCTGTTTGCTTATTGTGGTTTAGTGGTTGAATCCAACCACTGATTTGCTAAAACTTGCATTTGTTTGCTCCCCTTCCAACGTCAACCAAGTAGAAACCCTACTCACTTGCCCAAAGCGAATCGACCTTTTGACCTTTTGGTTTCCCTGTTGTGGTCCAGCTTTAGGCATGACCCAAAGGGCGAACCTTTTATTTCTGGGTCCGTTGGGCAACTGAGCCCACAAACCATCCCCAATTTGGCTTCCTTCAAGGGAGTCCCAAATGGTTCATTCCCAACACCCGGAGGGAATGACCCTACTGAGCACCAGCAAGCTTATGGCGATTTGGCAACATATCTTTGGACTGAATCACTTTTTGGTTGAACATGTTGAAACTTTGGTGGATTTTCCGTCTTGGACCCGCAGCCTAAACACTTGAGGGGTCTCCCAGCAACCAAGAGGGTCTAGTTCGGCCGATGTCAAAGAAGTCAAGGGAGAACATGGCCAACTTTGAAGCAGACACGGCCCGTGTCATTCGAACGGCTCATCTTTCTAAGGGAAACTTCCCCATTCTTTCCAGGGATCCTTCTTTTCAGAAAACCATCCAAGCACCAAGCACCAAGGGAAACACCCGGTTTCGAAGAGAAGGATGGTTGAAGAAAAAAATGGGGATTGCCCATCTCAAAGGGACAGCTCCTTTGAGACGATCGCCTGAGCAGAAAAATGCCAGCAGCTCAATGTTCAGAGGGCCCACTGCTTGGGTTACGTGGCTGGGCCAAACCCCTTGGCCCCAGAGTCCCTCGATGTCCAGCTGGGGAATCGGATTCCTCCCAAGATGTGTGGGCTTCAGGTGGTCTGAGCGTGGTGTTTGGGGGCTTTGCTTTGGACCCCTTTGTGAGTTCACTTGGTGGGGTTGACCACAGGGAATGACAGAGTCCGGGTGTTGGGAATGAACTGGAAGGTGTGAAGGGGATTCCCTCAAAGGAAACCATAGGGATGGTTCATGGGGGGCATTCCCTCATTCCCTTCTGAGCAAGCAATTGTTGTGGGCTTTGGATTTTGGAATGTTTGGCTGCTGATATGGTGCGCCATTTGTTTGGAACCTCCGTTTGGTTAGGTTGACCGGGAAAGTAGGAGAAATGTCCGTTTGGATTCAGTTACTTGGGGAGTTTCAAGGGGAAGCCAGCAGAAATCCAACTATGTTGCGGGGGTCTCGGGTTGGTTCAAAAGGAGAACCAGAAGAAACCCAAGCCAACCATTCAATCGCCATCTTTGGTTTCTAAGGGAAACATGAACCAATCTTCGAACGGCCTCGATCCAAAGGACGGCTGGCGCCGGGGCTGAGGGCTGGGTGCAGAAGCAGAGCGCCCGACACGTTTGATTTTCTCAGACCGAAGGTGGATGGATGACATGCTGCGCCAGTTGATGGGCGGTTCGTGCCATCATGGGATTCATCCATGTGAACTCGGAGTTGGACCCCTGTCCCGGGTTTCCAAAAAAAGGAATGGGAGAATCCGGGCGCTTGAATTTGGGAACTCCCAGTTTGTCCTAGGGTTGATGAAATATGATTGGGTCTTCAGACCTCAGAGTTCGTCCAAAGTTGGAGACCTCCTAAATCTCCCACAACAGCGCGGGGGGCGCACTGAGCCTCCGCATGCTTCCAGATCCGCTTGTTCCCAAAGCCGGCTTTGTGTCACTTTCTTCAGATTGGTGGTTTGGATTGGGGTTTGGAGGTGCCTTCCCATTTGGTTTCAAGCGGAACCAGGGTTCAAAGCAGTTCCCATCAATCCAAACCACAATGAACCATAATGAACCTATAGGTAGTTTCCTCATTCTTTGCCAGGGATCCTTGATTCCCGATAGATTTCCAGGGATTCTCCATTCCAGAAAAAACTGCGAACACTCGGAAAAGGGCGGCTAAAGAACGAAACATGTTCAAACACCTACCTGCACCCTCAGACGACCCCTTTCAAAATGGCATAGTGCCCAATTTTCACTGGTTTGAGGGTCCAGGTTGAGTTCAAGCGGGGCGACTTGGGTAACTTGGGTTTCCGCATTTTTAGCCACCTGCCAGGTATCTTTACCAGCTGGCGCCTTGGCGCATCGACTAAGGGGATGATGATCAATTCCTCACTGTTGAGGTTCCTAGCAGATTTGCGAGGTACCCTCCCACCAACTGACATGGAAGTGCACAGACACCTGTAGAAGGACGACTTTCCTCTTGGTGAGTTGGCCTACTGTGCACAAACCCATGTGAGTTGGTGGGACCCCAAATGGGCTGCACGTGGAAAGGACCAAAAACGCCCCCTGGCACAAACCCATGTGAGTTGTCTGGGAAAACTTCGCCAGCGGTCAGGGAGCCCGGCCGGAGCTGAAGGCGTCCAAGGAAAACTGATACGAAAATGCTGGGTCTAGCCACATGTTTTCCGGTTTTTCCAGATTGGGCAAAGCCTTCTCTGTTGCCAAGTTATGGTTCTCGGATGTTTTTCGGCTTGTTGAATGTGTTGACTGCCTTTCTTTGAGTGAACCCTTCACACATGTTATGCCATGAGCCATGTTGTCCATATCTTGGTGTTCTCACATGTCGCACTCATTCGCCCATCGCAACCTGCAAAATGCTCAGGAACCCGCTGTTGTTTGAAAAGAACAATGGTGGAACAGAATGGAACCAACCCTAGAATTCTTTCAGTCGCGACTTATGTCGCACTTCGCCTCAGAGAATCTGGCGCCGCACTTTGGCGAAATTGGGGTGCGGTCCTTGTATGTTCCCTTTTGTGCAGGCAAGGGTCGCACCTTTCGGGCAACCGGACCGAGGCGGAGGTTCCTCAGATGAATGCCAGCGACCTGGAGGCGCGGTCCGGTGAGCGACGTGTGAAGCTTTGCTTCCATTTTCTTTTGCAACATTTAAACCTTGTAAAAAGGGTGTCATTTGCAACCAGGAACACAGTACCTTTTTGTTTGGCCTCTTCTTCCATTTGCTTTAGGAACATATACGAATTCATCTAAAATGACCGGTTCTTCCATTTGCTTTCATGACGTGTTGCCTTGGCTCAACGGAAATCGCTCGCTGCTGGAAATAGTTTATCATTTTTTTCCAGCTGAAGCAAATAGAAGTGTTGACTTATGTCAGGAGATGCCTTTATGTTTCTTTGGTGCATTTTGCCAAGGGCTGTTAGAACTTTAACTTTTCGCCAACTTCTAGGGGTTTTCCACTAAACCACTAAAAGTTAAACTTTTAGCAGGGGAGCAGAAAGCAACCGAGGTTTGTCAGCATATTTAACATCACCTTGTTTTCATGTCCAGTCACGCCACAGAAGAGTGTGTTTGGTGTGTATTCTGAAAAGGTAAATTATCACTTTGACTGGGTGCTTCCCTTGGGTCTTTTCAAGACCTGGGTTGCTATATAGCAAGTCGAGACGCGAAACGGAGTCGGAGTCAGGGAAATGCCCCCCAGATATATTGTGTGCCCAGACCTAGTTTCTCCCCTACAGATTAACATGGAGTTCAAACACGCACCATTTGTGGAGGACGTAAGGATATTTCAAGGAAATCCAACATGCAAATGCCTGGAGGTAACTATCCTGCTCAGCCGGACCAGCCTCCTTTGTAGCTGAGTAGGGATGCTCATACCCTTATGGAATGCAGTGGGGAGAATCGCCATTGCCAATTTTTGGCCAGGAGACCCATGGTGGAAACGAGGGATGTTCACGAGACATATGGACACTACGAGGATATTTGGCAATTGGGCCAGTCTCCAAATGGGTGCTAAGATGGGTCATGAGGTCATATGACCCCAAACGGGATGTCCGCTCTTTCTTGGCTTGCTGCATGCCACTTACTCGAAAGTGCCAATGGCACGGGATCAACCTCCTCCCATTTCCAAGAAAAAGTGGACTAGAAATTGACTTTGACACTGGCTGCATCTCCCTTTCTACTGCTCTGAGGGTTGGGGGTTGTGGACACCAGGCGGGTCTTTTTGCCACCTTTTGTGGATAAATGATCGACCTCCTCGTAGTGAAGGATTCCTTTTTGAGGGGGGTCGCCAATTTTCTCCCAAAGGTGGCAAAAAGACACCCCTGGTGGACACCATCTGAGGGGAACCAACCACCCTGCAAGACAAATTGTGCTGAGTCAGGCGACCAGGCAACCCTCCCGTCGTGGTTTGGATGGGGTTTGAACCCCCATGTCTTTGTAGAGGGTCAACGGGCAACCACAGGCCCAACCCCCCGGAGAAACAGTTTCGTCGCGCTTTTCGTGGACTTCACCGATTGGAACAGCTTGTTGTGAATGTAACAATCTTTGGAGTGAGAGGGGAGATGTGGGTGGTTCACCTTGCCTTCGTAGCCATTTTGGCTCAAGGCTGGTGAGACTTCTTTCTGCAAGGCCCTGGTCTTAGGTGGGGATTCTGGCCTGAAGGCAAGTCCAGGGCTCCTTAGCGCCGACGCTAGAGCCTCTTGGGCGTCCTTTTGGCCGGACCCTCCAAGAACAGGCGCAGCAGGGGAGTCCTTCACCGGCCAGCCTGCTCGCCGCCTTGTGGGTCCATGGACCCGACAGAGGATGAGCTCAATGGTATGTCCACCCTGGATGATGTGGGAAACTGGGCAGGGACCGCGGGGCAAATTCAGACCGCTCTGACAGCTGCCCTTGGCGGGCCTACCAAGCTGCGTGACATTGCTTTCATCTCAAGGCCAGACTGGGACTCCGCAGTCTCAGGCCTGAAGGTGACGGTCACGGCAGCGGATGGAACGCCTAGTGAGCGGGAGCTCACCCTTGTGGACAAGTCCAGGATCGAGATCTTCAGGAGGACGGTGTTTCTTCGGTTGGGCGCCCGGCCGGACTCACCGGGGGCTTCGGGCCCACAGGTCTTGCCAGTGGGGGCCACACCTTTTCCAGGAACCTGTCAAAGTGGTGGCGGCGGGCTGGCAAACGCGGCGCCCACTCGCAAGCTCAAGCGTGGTTGATCCCACGCTGGATGCAGAGATCGTCCAACTATCGCATGAAGAAGTGACCAAGATGTATTCCGACTACAAGGCCAAGTTCGGGGATTATCCGAGCCTTGATGTCGAGCCAACCATGGACCAACTGGCGGCCATCTCCCAGCTGGTCAAGAGCAACTCCTTGCCATATGTCGACTTCAGCGTGTTCGGCCCTCATGGCTTACGGCAACTTCGCCGTGCCGTATTCACCAGCTACACGCTGAATGCTGCGACTGGAGAATGGTCAAAGAAGGAGACGCCCGGCCCTGATTCCATTCAGGCCTGGGAGAGATGCTTCAAGACATACAGGGTGTCTCTGTTGTTATTGGGAGTGGTGGACAGTGAGCGGCTCGAGAGCTACATGGAGTTCATTAAGGACCTCCACAGCCAGTTTGGCCATGACTGTTGGGGCATCATTTACCGAGCCGACGTCAGAATGAGAACCGAGTTCATGGACAGGATCCGCAGGTCCCTCCATGAGAGCCCGCAGTTTGGATACACCAAGGCGGCTCTTTGGTCAGCTGTCTTCGCCATGGCCATCCGCGAGGCAGAGTTTTGGTCAAAGGAGGTCAAGACCCCGGCCACGCTTTTGTTGGCCCGCAACAAAAGCCTGCCAGCCAGAGAAGACTCCGACTCGTCAGACGGCGGCCCGAAGCTTGGCGCAAAGGTCCGCAAGAAGGGCAAGGCCAAGTACCGCGGCGACAACAAGTCCATTTTTGACAAAGGAAGGGGCATATATACACACAGCAGGAAGGGTCTTGAAATCTGCGAACTCTTTCAGAAAGGGCGGTGCGGGAATGGGAAGCCTCAGTCCAAGTGCAAGGCCGGCAGGTCACCTCAGTGCAATCTCTGCCTGGGACCGCACATGGCCTCTGCGTGCACGCAGAAAGGACAGAGGAACTGACTCAATCCCACAGCTGGACTCGACGCATCTATGTCACCGGCCAAGATCTTCACCACAGCCAAGGTCAAGCCTACTCCGAGATCTCCGTACAAATGCTGAGGCCTCTCCGGCGTCGTCGGGGGCCGAGCCCAGACTCACAGCAGAGACAGCGCCAGATGTGGAATGGAAGGCAAAGCGGCCAAAATCACCCGATGGTCCGCCTCCGTCAAGGCGGCCAAAATCACCTGATGGCCCGCCTCCGTCCCGTCGGATGACTTCCGGGGCCGGCGCAGCTTCTGAGCGGTTGGGGCATTGGGGGAATCCCGGCCCTGGTTGCTCAAAGCCCACGCCAGGTGACTGCTTCTTGCCCAAGAGTCAGTCATGGACAGCCTTCCGATACGGGGCGACCAACATCGACCCGCAGCAATGGGCAGGCCAGCCAAGGGCGCTGCTGCTCTTCTCGGGCAGACATGACCTCTCCTGTCAGTTGGCTTCCGATGGCTGGGGCGTGGTGGTGGCCGACCCAGAGGGACCCATACCTGTGGACCTCCTAGATGGGAAAGTCCGCAAGGCAATTCTTGCTGACGTCACAAAGGGCTTCTTTGATGCCCCACCTTGGGAAAGTTCTTCACCGTTCGAGGAGAACCCAGAGCGGGCTCAACTGAAAGATGCAAACAGTCTTGTGGAGTTGACAGCCGCAGTGGCGCAAGAGCAGCTAAACCATTTGCGCGCTTTCTGGATAGAGAACCCTGACCGCGGCGAGAAGCTGGATATTTGGAAGACGTCGTGGCTGCAGCCCTTGCTGAAGAATGCCCTGGTCACCACGGCAAAGTTCGACCAATGCCGATTTGGAGCGGAGGTCACCAGGCCCACCAAGCTAGCGGAGTATGGTCATGATTTCATGGACGTCATGAGCTTGCGGTGTAATCATTCCTCCAGAGAGTGGACACGGCCCGACGGTTCCAAATATTATGCAAAGCATGATTCTTTCGGGCAAAGCTGGAGAGAAACCTCCGCAGGCAAACGCCAAAGGGTCTCGCAGACTTTGGCGGAGTATCCAGCAGAGCTCAACAAGCGCATTGCCAAGGGCATGCTTGCCACGGACGGGCACCGAGTAGCCAAGCTACGCTCGGGAACCAGTCACTCAAGCCCGCCGCCGCTGGGATTAGTGGACCCTGTTCAGCGGTCACGGGATATCGAAAACAAACTTGCCATTGGTGGAATGAGGAACCCCCTCGACGCATCTGCTAAAATTCCCAATGCTGCTACAGTTGGATCTGCGATATTTTCCCTATTGTACGACGCGGCGGCGTTCCCTTCCCAGAAAGCTGAGCCACTCGATGAACAGTTTGTTTCCACTCTTAGGGACCTCTCCCTCAAAGTCTTGACGGGGAGTAAGATTTGCCCCTTTATTCGCACAGCCAAGGCAAACACGCCATTGAGTGCTGATGTCATTTGGGAGTGGGGGCAGCTTTCAGGTGATCCGGATGCCGAAACATTGGCGTCGTGGCTCAGGGCTGGCGCGCCACTAGGCTTTGCCAGCGTTGGGAAGACGAGGCTGCCTGTGGTCTTGCAAGATCTATTCAAGGGTGGGCCAACCATCCCTCAGCATCCCAGTATAGTGCTGACTTGCAAACTCTAGTTCAAGACGCGATCAACAAGGGCTTTTGCTCTCTCTACAACTCACTCGCAGAGGCCGAGTTAGCTGTTGGCAGGGAGTTGGTGCTGAACAAGCTGGGGTTACTTGTCAAAGAACAGGGCGAAGTAAGGAAAGCCAGGATAATTTGGGACCTCCGGGAATCGGGCGTCAACAAGTTGTGCAACCAAGGGGAGCGGATCATCCTACCAAAGCTGGAAGATGCCATTGAGGACGCCCTCCATATTTTCCGTCAAGGAGGCACCCCAAGCTTTTTGGCGATCGACATCAAAGATGCCTTTCATAATGTGCCCATAGGGGCCGACAAAGCTTTTACAGCAGCCGCCTTTGAGCACAATGGTCAACTCAGAATCTTGGTTTACGATGTTCTTGTGTTCGGCTGCATGTCCAGCCCAACAGTTTGGGGAAGATTTGCGGCGCTGTTGGGCCGTTCCCACGCGGCCATCAACCCCGCGGTCCGAGGTCAGGTTTACGTTGATGACCCACTGTTTACTTTTGACTCGGACAACCCGGAACATCGCAGGCTCTTGGGCGTTTCGCTACTTTGGGCTTACGTGGCTGGATTCCCCATAAAGCTTGAGAAGACATCATCAGGCTCGGAGGTCAAATGGATTGGCGCCCTTCTCAAAGTGGACCCCGACGCTAAAGCAATCATCGTCACCGTTTCTGGAGACAAGGTAGGCGAGCTGTGTGATAGGATCACGCAACTCCTGAGAAGACCAGTTGTCGGGAGACGCTAACTCCAGTCGCTAACTGGTGCACTTTCTTTTGTTGCAGGACTGGTCCCACTAATGCGACCATTCTTGAGTAGCTTATGGTCTGCGCTTGCAACGACGAATGACGGCTCTTCGGCCAGATGTGTCGTGCGCACCAGACGCATTGAGCCAGCGCTCGAATGGACCTGGATTCGCCATTTGCTGGGAGGAAAAGCAGTACCCTTCGTGCGGATTGCGCGGGCTTTCAGGCCAAACACGGGGGCTATAGTCATCACTGACGCTTCTACTTGGGGTCTAGGAGGCATCCTCATTGTCCACGGAACCATCGCGGAGTTTTTCTCGTGTCCCATACCTCCAGAGTTTGTGCTGCGCACTCACGCGCTCCCTGGCCTGCCGAAGCACATGGCTCTTTGGGAATCCCTCTGCCTACTTATCGCTGCCAGACTATGGTTGGTACAGTTTCCCCTTGGGGCAATTGTGAGAGTCAAGGCTGACAACATTGCTGCGTCGCACCTCTTGGCAAGGGGAAAGGGTTCTGGCCCCGAGCTTTCCATGGTAGCCAGGGAGATTGCGTTAGACCCAGCAAGAGGCCTGTATGAGTTCACGCTACTAGAACATCTCAACACGAAACTCAACAAGACTGCCGACCCCCTCAGCAGACAACACGACCCTGATCCTCCGCCGTTTCCATCTGATATGATAGGCCGGGCTCGTAGGGTTCCTATTTCAGTATCCGCTGATTTTTGGACACTTCCACAGATCGGAATTCGGTCTCGGAAGGGTGAAAGAGCGCCGCGGCTTTGGGGCAGGGGACGCTTTGTTGAGAGAGGCCACGGAACAGTTTGCGCTGAGATAATTGCGTGTGTTTTGCGTTGCGCTTAAATCGCCTCGAGTTTTCGTAGGTGGGGTTGCCATGGTGCGCCTGCTCGTTTCTTGGCCCCGGAGTCTGCTGGCTGAACACAGCAGCTCAGGCTCAAGGCTCATGAAACGGAGCGTGGGGCCTGCCAGATGACTCCAGCCAAATCCGCCTGGGCAAATTTCAGGCCTCCTTCCTCTTCGGGAAGGGCCCGCGCAGCCCGCGGACCTGCTGGTGAAACCTGCCAGAGCAAGGGTGGGTTCATCAGAGCAGGCCAAGCCCTACCAACGTGGTTCTCTGGAAGAAGCTCTGCGTCACGTCCAGGCAAATCCGGATGATTGCGTGTCACACATTCAAAAAAGAGCCAGGGCCACTACTGCGCAGGGCCCTCATGCTTCAAAGCTGAAAGGGTGGGCGAAGCTGGCAGCAGCAGCTGGACACACAAACCCCTACTGTCTGACTCCAACCATGATCTTCGCAGTCATGGGGGCTTTGGACAAAGCAGGCTTTCGATCAGCAGAAACTTACATGGATGCGGCAAAGCAAGAGCATCTGGAACTAGGCCACCCGTGGTCAGAACAGCTGACGTTGGCAACCCGCCAAGCTCGGCGAGCGTGCCAGCGCAACCGGGGCCCAGCCAAGCAAGCCCAGCCTTTGCCTTTGCTTGAAGTGGCACAGCTAACGATGACGCCAAACCCAGCTGTTCCAGACGGCCCAGCGCACTCAGTCAGGTCAACTTTGCTCGCGTCCTGGTGGCTGTTGAGAGAGATCGAGGCCAGCAATGCCAAGGTCGACTTCAAGGAAGCTTCCTGAGCTAGATGGGTCAGCTGCGAGAGCGGAGCATCACGGATATGCTGGCGGAAGACCTCTGAACCCCACCTCCCAAACAGCTGAATGCGCCATAGCTCTGTGTGGTTCTGTGCCAGGAACACTGCGCCCGAGGCGCGCGCTGAATGCCCGGTGTACTTCCTGACTCCCGAAAGGAAAGTCAAGGGAAGACCAAGACAGTGGGCCACCTGCTGAAACGTGTTTGCCCACCCTGCTTTTGTTGGTTGGTTTCCCGTCAGTGTGGGGCCAGCCAGAGCCTTGTTCCCTTGCCCAGTTGACCTGCTGCTCCATGAGATGAAATGGACAATGCGGCGCTGGGCCGTCTTGGCAACAACATGAGTGAGTGCGTGTGGCCCCCAGAGCTTGCCAGTCCGTCTTGCTTGAAGGTAGGCGCCAGTGCACTAAACAGGCAAGCGAATCCACGGTGATGTGATTCTTCAGGCTGCAAAGGCCGAGCTTGCGGCCTTGTGGGCGCAGACGCGTGACCCACAAACCTGGCGTGCAAAGTCTGGCATTCAGTCCCAGACTGTGGCCACTTTAGCCGATTGCTCTGCTGCAGCTCCCCTCGCGCCGAGCGTGCCTCTGCCAGAGCCCAAGTACGTGATCAATCGATCGCCTGCTGGTGATTGCCTGCAGTGGGGGGACCCTCCCGCATCACCCTTGGCGTGCTACGTGCTTCTGGTATTTCGCTCGGTGCAGCGCCGACTACCTGATTTCGTCAACACTTGGCGAGGGTAAGATTCGGTGTGCCAAGTGTTTCAAGCCTTCTCAGTCTTCTGTGCGTGCGGAGTCAGGTGACGAGTCCTCCAGTTCGTCATCTTCAAGCGAGTCTTCTTGCGCTTCGCAA